TCTCATGCCCATCCCTACATCCTGGGGATATATTGATTAAATTGTTAATCTATCACATAATTCGATTAGACATGAGATGAATTGTATGCCATAAGTTTATTCTTGTTTTAACAAGTTTAAGATTTAACCACTTATTAAGATAATAATTATTTATTTCAATATGTACTATTTAAAAATTTACATATATTAATACTTAAACGACTAATTTTTTACTACTTTTTTTCTCATTTCTTTTACAAAACTTTACTTATTTGCATTAGTGATGTATTGTGAGTAATGAAAATATTAGTAGAAGATTTGGTGAAAGATTTTGAAAAGTGGATAATCGTCCTTTGGATGAATTATTTCTTTACCTTATCGTAATAAACTTAATTATTTTTACATAGTTACCACTAATTAGAGATGAATAAAATTCAACGTGACTTGAAAATTTTATTTTTAAATTTTAAATTATTCGAGTCAACTCAAGTTATCGATTTGATTTTTGAGTTCGAGTCGAGTTGGAATTTCAAAGTTTCGATTAACTTGAAAAATTAAAAATTTGGATGAGTATTTTGACATGTTTGTGATTTGGTCCCTGATTTCCTATTCTTTCGTTTCTTCCTTCATTTTAAGTTATTTTTTTTACCAAATTTGAATCACATGCTCTTAAACCATTATAGAATACATATGTACTCTCAATTCATCTTTTTGATAATAAATTTTCTATTTTTTGAATTTAGTCCCTTAACTTTGCATGATTTCCTTATTTATTCAATTCATCTAAGTACGTTTTTTACCAAATTTGAATGACATGCTCCCCTACCACTATAGAATGCCTATGTAACTTCAATTCCTAATTTTTTTTTACTAAAAATATACTCTCCTTTTTCAATTTAGTTCCTTAACTTTTTATTTTACTCAACTTAATCTTTTTGACTATAATTGTTTGTAAATTTTTTCTTCACATCAATTCATTGACTCCTTTATACTCCCATCAATTTTTTACGCTCAAAATACCTTCTTTGAAATATAATATTGTAAATATATTTTATAATTTTGGATTGTATTTGATTTATTAAATAACATTATAATGTGTAAAAGAATATGAAGAAACTTATATAGAAATTCAAACAACTCGAATTTCATAAACTTTACTTGACTTGAAAAATTTCCAAAAGTTTGAGTCATAAAATACGACTCATTAACTTTAATAACTCGAATTTTTTTTTGTCTCAAATTGACTCGATCAAATATTCACCCCTATTGCTAATCTTAAGGATAACAATTTAATCCGAAATTGATGGATTCTGACCCGACCCAATCTGATAGGGTTGAATTTTAAAAAAAAAATTGAATTCAAATCAGGCCAGATCGAATTCAGGTAGAGAAAATATGTTTTTGAAGTCAAATTGAGTTGACAAAAAATACAACCCAATCCGATCCGTTACTATCTTGCTAATGTCATGTTTTGCAGCAGTATACTAATCCTCAGTGACGGAGCGAGTATTAAATATTGGTAGGGCCGAAATATTTATTTTTTAAAAAGAACTACAATGACTTATTAGGTATTTAAACTCAAAATTCATAAGAAAATGAATATTTTTTTCTAATATTTAAACTTACAATGACCTAAATTATTATTAAACCAAAAATTTTGAGAAAATGAGAGTATCATTCTTTAATTCGGCCCATACTTGATTAAATATTTAATAAATTATTATATTTTTTAATTAAATATTTATTTTTATATGAATCAAAATAATATTAATTCAAAATTTATCGAATATATAATTTTTTTTACAGGAATCGGTGCCCCTTTGTGCCCAACATAGCTCCGTCCCTCATAATACTACACACTAGAAGGTTGAATCAACAAAAGCAACTCAATCTCTCTTCGCCCAATACACTGTTTATAGTGCATTACATAACTGGATACTAAATGACCTAATCACCTATTCGAACAGTTAACTCTTAACAGATAACTAATTTTAGTTGGGCCAAAACCAACTTTGACCGTCCTTGGTTCATTCAACATGATCAGGATAGACTGGAGTAGGGTTGTAAATAAGACGAGATATATCGCGAGTTACTCGAGATCGACTCGATCAAGGCTCGATAAATACTCGGATCGAATGGACTCGACTCGAGTTCTTAACGAGCCGAAACGAGCTACTCGATATTCGACTCGAAAAAGCTCGTGAGCTACTCGAAAAAATGTTATATTATAATTTTAATTTTTTTTAAAATTACATTATTAAAAATATATTAAAAATACATTATTGATACTTATTAAATTTTAAAAATATATAGAAAATTCTATAATACAACTATCCTCAAATTTTAATTTTTTTTAATTAACCAGCCCAAGTCTAATTGTTACATTGTATATTACTAAAAGGAAAATAAAAGCCCATTTAATTAAGCACATGTTAGATTACACGTGTTTGGCTGATTTTTTCTTTATTTTTTAACTTTTTACTACACAAATACTTGACAACGTAGAAAAATAAAATAAAAAATAAGAAAAAACAACCAAACAATAGAAAAATTGAAAATGATTACAAATTATTTTTGAATAAATATTCTTATATTTATTTTAAATTAATAAAAAAATTATTTATCTAATGACAAATATTTAATATATTTCTAATGATAATATTTTTAATAACTAATTTTTTAAATTGTTGTTATATTTTGAGGTTCCGGGTTCAAATATCATAAATATCAAGGGTTTGAACATTTAATATCAAGATACTATATTGTACTTACCTTATAAATTAGTACCAAGTCGATTAATTAATGTATTTGTAATGAACCCTAAACCTTAAACCTTAAACCCTAAGCCCTAAGCCTTAAACCATAATCCTTAATCCCTAAGCCCTTAATCCGATTATGTGATAAGGGTTAAATTATGCACATGAAGGTAACATATAAATTATACAAAATGAAGTTATGTTTCGTTTCTCGATGATACGCTATTAGTGGGGGAAATTTGGTAATGAAAACCATGAGAAGCACATCGTTTCGACAAACAAATTTGTTAAGGAAAGTAATCCAATTCTAGGTAAATCCAAACGAAAACTCGATGAACACACAGATTGAACTAACATCGAACACATTCACAGATTGAGAAGTTATTAAAGGTGCAATAGAACATACGTTAAATGGAATGTAAGCATGTATGCCATTGACAGGACCAACGGTAAAGCCTGTATATCCGACCATTGCTCCATGAACTGCGACGTGAGCAAGTAGGGCGCAGACGCAGTAGAAATTATCCGAAGCGATGCTAGGAATAGCCCGGATCATGTATGTAGGATCTGCAAACCAAATTTCTCAAGTCAAAAATTTTTGCACGTTATTTAAAAGGTTGAATTTAACAGTAAGTACGTAACATGTTAACCTATATATTTTCTCTGAGTCGTTTTTCTATATATTCATATAGTCCACCTCTTCCTTTGAGATAGAGTAAAACAGAAAGTGTTGGAGTTTGGGTGGAAGGAATGGAGAAGAAGCTGATATACAGTGGGGTTTGTCTTTGAAAAATTGTGTGTTGGCAGCATTCATGTGAGCTGAGCTGAGAAAGCAATTGAAAACCAGGTAGGATCGTTATCCGACTTAGATTGCCCACGTCAAGCATTCACTCAACGCCGCTTTTTCCGAGGTTCTGTTATGTTCTGCTGCGCCATAAACTAGTGGCACCCGCATATTGATGTTTCGATTGTTTGGTATCTTTATTATCGAACCAGGATTTGGAAATATTTATATATCGAATTATATAATTATAATCTATAAGAGATATTGGAAGTGTTTGAGTATTATATATAATCTGCAATATAAACGCAATTGTTTTATGATTTCAATTGCGTAATTAGTTTTTGGAAGCAGTCAGCTGGTGGCTGAATGCATTGTCAGTATTCCACATCGTTGAGATACAAAGAGACGACGATAGAATCTTCTTATAAAAAAAGCGGGTTTCTACATTAAAGTTTCGTATCTTTCTTGGCCTTTTACATAAGATCAAGTGTAGAATTTGTTCTTATCAGTTAATTTTGTTACGTGAGCCAATGTTATTAAGATATTAAATTTATCAGAGTAGCTTGGTACTGAGACTCAGGTTCACGAGCGTTCTACTATAGCTTCGAGTTCAAAATTGAACTTCAATTGAGTTTTGAGTTTCAATCTAGCTTAAGTTCGAGCTTGAATCGAGTTCGAGCTTGCATCGAGCTTTAATCCAGCCGTAGTTTCGAGCTTTAATCAAGAGTTCGAGTTTTTTCGAGTTTGAGTCGAGTTTTAATATTATCTTTCGAGTTTGAGTTGAGCTTGAAAATTTTAGGTTCGCGAATTTTCGAGTCGAGTCGAGCTTACATTTAAAGTTTTCGAGTTCTAGTCGAGTTCGGTGATACTCGAGCTCGACTCGACTCGTTTACACCCCTAGATTGAAGGATGTGGATGGAGACAATCCTATGAAAATTTAAAATATTATCATATATATATTTTTTATTTTTTATATGTTTTCTATTAAAGATCTATGTTAGTTCTTTGGAATTTTATAAGATTATACATTTCTAAAATTTTAGAAGTTTACCCTAATATAGATTCATGAGTCCACCACTGACTACTACATATTGTTCACCCCTAATTCTTTTTTATTTTTTGTGGTACGAATGTATTTATGAGTGAAAATAAATCTGAATTATATCATTATCACTATATTTTTTTTTGTTTAATTTCTTTTTCATTCGATTCTTTCTTTTGTGGTTGATTGATGACAGCGATATGTTTGGTCCAATTATTGCACAAGAGTAGACCATAAACAAGTATAATAAAATCAATTGGTTCAAATGTTATGCATATTGATATTATTTTAGTAAGGTTTTTAATTCGAGTTATTATATATACAGAAAATCTCAATGTGGAGAGTTACCCGCTAAGACATCATATGTACATATGAATTGGTTGGTTTAGCCAAATCAAAACCTTAAAATGCTAAGGTAAAAAAAAAACAAGTATAATAAAAAGTGGCTTCAAATCACCAACCTCATCCATTTCCACAACAGCAACGATTGGCACAACAAGCTTTTCAAACAATTACCAAAAGAACAAAACATAAAAGAAAGCTAAAAAAAGGAAGAACAGCAACATCAGCCATTTTTTCTTTTTTATTACAATATCCAATGGATTCAAAGATCAAACCAAATTAAAATTGTCATTTAGATTGAACTTAAAAGTCATTGGACAATGGTGCATGTTCGGAGTGCATGAACACATTTCCATAGATGAGTCCAGCCAAGCCACCGCCGATGAGTGGTCCGACCCAGTAGATCCAAATGCCGCTGAAGTCGCCACTAGCCACTGCAGGTCCGAACGAGCGAGCTGGGTTCATTGACCCACCAGAGAATGGACCGGCAGCCAAGATGTTGGCTCCAACAATGAAGCCAATGGCAATAGGTGCAATGGTGCCTAGTGAACCCTTCTTTGGGTCTGCTGCAGTTGCATACACTGTGTACACTAATGCAAATGTTATGATGATCTCCATCACCACTCCTTGAATCGCCCCGACTCCGGCTCCGACACCGTGGGTTGGAATTGCCTGCAATAAAAACCAATGTACTCGAAACATCAGCCTAGGTTACTCGGATTCGAGTATATAGTTCGATTTTTAATGACGAGGATGTTGTCACTGTTGTTATTTAGGCTTACCAAGCCACCCGTAACTGCCTTGAGTAAGAAGCAAGCAACAATGGATCCAAGGAGTTGTGCAATCCAGTAAAAGATGCCGGTGAGGATGGTGATTTGGCCACCGAGAGCTAACCCGAATGTGACGGCGGGGTTGACATGGCCACCGGAGATGTTGGCACCAATGGCTACTGCAACAAAGAGAGCAAATCCATGGCAAACAGCAATGGCGACTAGACCATCAGGATCTAGGTCTGCATCTGTTGTCACCTTGTCTGCACCAAAACAAAGAAAGCGTTTCAACAAAAGCAACATCATCTATGTTTAGTTAGTGCTATTGTACATGGGGAGGTAGGGTTTTAACTGTAAGCAATGGCGGAGCCAACGCCGGCGAAAACGAAGACCAAAGTCGAGATGAACTCGGCAAGATAGGCCTTTATGGAGCCTAAATTGAACGAATCATCGAAACGACCGAAGGCGATTCCAGTCATGTTTGAATGAAAAAGAGAGCTAAAAGAGTACTATAGGCTCTTTGTAGAGAAGGAAATAGAAAGAAAACAGCTCAACTTCATACAACACTCAAACCCTATTGTTTGATCACATATAAATACTATCAAAGGGTTCCATAATTTTATGTTATTATGGGCTACCTTCACTTTTTCTCGAAATAGTTATCCAAAATTTACCATTATCTTTATTCAAGATAAGATGATTGTACGAATTAATCGAATTAAATTCGAATTTATTCTAATCGTATTCAAATAATATTATATTCATATGCATCCTAGCTGTCATTAACACAGGGTTAAATAGAATTGTCGAGAAGGAAATAATTTATTCGTCCATGTGAGATGTGACCCAACCTCTCCTTTCTTTTCCTTTTTGTGTTTTGTTTGAATGTGTGAAGAAATTATGATAAAGAAAAATAATAATGGAAATGGGAAAGAGGTGATGAGGTTTGGGCCACATAGTGCACCGACCATGTTTCAAATGAAAAATGAAATCAAAATTGTGTGGACAACATTCACTTACTGTTTATTCACATTGAAGATATCATACATAAAAAAAATTTGGTGAGTGTTTTTTTTTTCATTTGAATTATGAATTAAGATGGATAGGAGGAATCTTAGGTAAAATCAGGTCAATAATGCAGACGAAAAAGAATTTTAAAAAATAAAGTAATCGAGAATAATTTTAGGATGTAAACCATTTGTTATAATATACGTGAAATTCGTCATGTGTAAATGAAGAGTTTTATCATATGAAAGTGACGCGTTTTATATAAATTTGATCCATTTTATATGATGAGTTTAGTTTTTAATTTATTTTATAAAACTCATCATCTTCACATGATAAATTTCACATACACTATAACAAATAAAATATATCTCAAAATAAATTTGAGGGTGTTTTATTTTGATAATTAATTATTTCGCCCGCATTATTTGCCTGATTTTACTGGAATCTTAAGCAACTTTCTGGCCCCTTTCTTGGTTTACTTGTGAAAACTTTTCTCATAACACACGCCTTTATATATATATATATTTGTTCGTACTTAAGATATTAAAGGAGAATAATATTTCTTTTAATTATTAAATTATTTGATGAGTTCACTTTACTCTTTTAATTTAGGATTAATTTTATGTATTATCATATAATTAGATAATAATATATTATTTTAAAATTTTAAGATTAATTTTTTTAATAATATATCTTATATCTTTTATGTAATTCATTTATGTATCTGCATCAAGTATCCACCCTTTATTTTAATTGCATGTTTAAGCCATAAAAGGTGGGATTTGAACTCCATTATTTTTTATTCATTTTGTCCTTTCAAGACAGTGGATAACGTTAATTAAGAATTCTAATCTCAAATATTATACTTGCATTATTTTTATATATCATACATTTTCAGTCAATTAAATTTAACTCCATAAATATTACCAGAAATGTAACATATAAGAGGATATTGAATCATATATGTTTAATTATTAACCGATAATCTTTGTGATTAGTGGCTGCAGCCGATATTCATTGTTTTTTTTATTATAACATATTTTTATTTTTTCCTTGTTTTTTATTTTTGATAATTATGTTTTTAAGACATTTATCTTCTGTCTTTATAACACATTTTTTATGTCTTTATGAAACGTTTTGGTTGTTTGACTATTGTTTTCGTTTATCATTTTTTTAGGGTTGAATTTAACATCATCACGACTGATCAAGATGACGCTTTTTATTATCATGCCGATCTTCCCTGCTTTGGACACTCGGATTGAATTTGGATACACGATTTACGTTCGTGGATAGTATTTTTACTTCGCTCGATTCTAATTTGTGGTTTGTCGGTGGTCTTTCAATAGTTTTATCATCTTTTGTGGTTTATTTGTCGATACGATCAGATCTGTTAGTATCTACCTTTTGTTCTAGGTTTTTTTTTGTTAATTTACGGTTGTGGTTGTAAATATTCATTGTAATTTAAATATTTTGTATTTTTAATAAAATTAGTGACTTATATAAAAAATATTAACCGATAATCAATTAGTTTAGTAAGATGAGACATTGTATTCCTTAAATAAGGTCAGGAGTTTGAATCATTGCGTTATGAATGGAGAAAATTAATTTCAAACGGTCACCGCATAATAGTTTTCTACAGTAGTCAATCTGGATTAATTAATTAACAGATAAAAATATATATACCTATTCATTTAAATATTAAATATCTTTAAGTTCTAAAATAAGAAATAATTGAAATAATTTTGATATATATATATATATATATATATATATATATATATAACAGTACATTCCTAAGATGATCATATATTTATATTAAAAGTTTTTATAGGAATAGAGGGTAAATCACATTATTTGAAATCAACTAAGAAAAAATGTATACCATAAATTCATAAATTAAATAATATATTTGATCAATTATTAAGTTTTATTTTATTAAGAAATAAAATTTTCAACATTTTAATTTTCTAATTGAATTGGTAATTTTCTTGAACTTTCTCTAAATACAAAAAATCAACAAAAAGTGGTTGAATATGATAAGTGGATCATGTTGAAAATATTAAATTGATTACATTTTTATTAAGAAAACAAAACATTCAAATTATTATATTTAATTTTTATCTAATTTTTTTAAAATAATATAAAATAAATTATTAAAAAATTTAATCCTTTAAAAAAGAATTAAAAATTTAAAATAATAAAATAAAAATTTTACATAAATCAAGATTTTTTATTGTTGATAACCCCATTATGTTGGTGGTTGGATAGAAATGACACCCCTAAAGTTTAGATCATGTCCCATTCTCCCAATTAAATTCCATAATTATTCTTTTATTGATATAGCAAAAAGTTCTGTAATATAAAATCAGCACTAAAAAAATAATATTTATCTTTTAGTTTATCATATCACACAAATTAATTTATATTATTGTTTTTAAAAATAATATTTAATAACTGTGAAATTCGAATTTAATAAAATTCGTAATAGATTCTTTGGAATAGACACAATAGATTGATTTTTAATTCAGAGTTCCGAAAAACAAACAATATTTTGAACGAGACTCTTCGGCTCCAAGCATAAGCACAGCAGGCGATAGAAAATAATGATGGTCGGATGGACCAGCAACGAGCTCGGGCAAATCGCCAAATCTCATGGCAACCACCTCCATACGGATGGTGCAAAATAAACACGGACGGGGCTCGTCGGTCGAATACGGGTTCAGCAGTTTGTGGGGGAGTAATAAGGGATGACTATGGACACTGGATTGTGGGTTTCACAAGAGCTATTGGCCTCTGTTATGTACTTGACGCGGAATTGTGGAGAGTCTACGAGGGTCTTTAATTAACTTGAAATCGAGAGGACAAAAATGTTATCGTTGAAGTGAATAGTAAAGATAATGATTATAGAAATTGAATTTTTGGATAAAGATTGATTAGGAAATGAGATGATATTTAAATGATTGCTTAATGTCACATATTTTATACAATTTAATAACATGTTAAAATATGACATATATGGTGAATGCTTACTGGAGTTAAATGTAGTTTATATAAGAATGGATGATACTACATAAGCTTAAGTTCATATGATGATGAATGTTTTAGATTTATAAGATTGATGTATGAATGGGTGAAACTATGTATGTGGTAAAAGGGAATGTTGATTGTCTTAGAGGTTATGGGTTTGAGCAGTGTGTGCGTGTTTTCAATAAGATAAGAAATATGAAGTGGTTTTGGAAGGTTTCTAAACATGGTTTATATTGCTTGTGAGATACAGTGTGTTGGTGAGTGATTGAACATATTTACTAGGTAAAATTAATAAAATAATGCATTTGGTATCAATATTATACTGGAAGAATCGACACCATAGATTAATATTCAAACGTCAAATATTAAATTGATATTGATACCTAGCATGAGTATTGATATTGTCTATACTGATATCGATATCGATCCTTAGTATTAATATTGAATTAAGGCTCAATGTTGAAGGGTATCGTTACTAGGGTTTAGGTATCGGTACTTTACAAATAGTGTCGATACTGAAAATTTTAAATTGATAATTTATTCAAATTAGTCCTAATTGTATGTTTAAGATTTGTTATGATCATTAAATAGTAAAATAATATGAATTAAGATTATAAGTAATTTCTAACATTCCTAATGGATTTTCGGTTGATAAAAAGTTAATTTCATTAAATTATTAAGAATTACATTTAGGTCTCTAAACTTTTATAAAATTTCAATTTGATCTACATTTGTGATATAGCTATGAAACGAGTTAATAGTGAATGATAAGCCTTTATGACCAGTAGTGTGATGTCAAATGTGTGTTAATATATGAGTTTGAATGTTATGATTGAACTTTATCGTTTGCTTCCTACTGATGTTATAAGTAGTAAAATGATCTCCAAGAACTTTTAGGAGTACATTAGCTTGATTAATGACTCAATTGGATAATTGGTAATAAACAATTGAATTTAAAATGATTTATAAGATAATACCTTAATTTTTGAATAATTATGCTTTAGTTCCTATATTTTAAAAAGTTTCAAATTGGTCCTTAGTCAAGATAACACCCTGAAAATGATTAATAATTGATGATAATCCTTGGTATAAACTATAAAGATGATTTATGTCAAAGCATGTTCAATGTGTGTTTTTTGTGAATATGATTTATGTTCTCTTCTGATATGGTTTTCATCTAAATCGGATTGAGGATGTTACAGTCGTCCACTTCAAAATTCAGCTATATAATATTTGAAGAATTTTGTTAACCTCAAGAGATGACATCCATTTTGACAATTACACTATTAAGGTGCTTTTATTTCTAATACAATGATTCTTTTACGACACATTTAACTTGCGAATTATTTTTTATTAATTCAATTTAATTATTCAATCAGTACTAACGATATGTTTTACAATAGTATTATTTCTAACATGATAAATTATTGAAAAATGAGTGAGGTTTATCCTAAGTCCAATTCTCTCCTCTTTTTTTCTTCTATTTTAAAAATCCCAATCCTCATTTCAA